CGAACCCCGCGCCGCCCCCGAAGCCCCCCTTGCCCCCCAAACCCCCCTGGCCCCCCAAGCCCCCGCAGAGCCCGGCGGCCCCCCGAGCCCCCCCAGGGCGGTGCTTTTGCTCCCCCCCAGGCTGTAAACGCTCCTGCTGCCGAAGCCGGAGCCCCGACACGACCCCCGGGCGCCGAAGGCGACCTTGGTCTTGCCCCCGAAGCAGACGGAGCTGGAGCCGAAGCTCTTCCCCAGAGCGCAGGATTGGCGAGACATGACGGGGGGGCCCCAAAATGCGCAGCCGAGAGCCGAGGGTGGAGGTTGGGAGGCGACAGGAGGCGAGTCCTGGGGGAGCGACCGCCGGGTGCCCCCTTTTTATGGGCGCGGGGAAGCGCTGGGTGCCAGGGGAGGGGAGATGTCAGGTGGGTGGTTTCTTTTTTTGGGGGGGCCGTTTAATTCCTTTCATTGTGTTCGGGGGTTTGGGAGGGTTCCCTCCTCTCCCCGCCACCGCCGTGACCTGCCCCCGAAACACTCCCCGGGGAGAGCGAAGGCAAACAAAGCCCTTGTTGGTGTTGGAAGGCGAAGCGCGGCTCAAACAGCCCCGGGTCGGGGCTGTCACCGCTCACAAAGCCCCGCCGAGCCCCCGCCACGCCTCGCCCTCGGGGGAGACCCCGCTCGGGGCTCAGAGCTGTCATTTTTGGGGCTGACAGCAGGGCTGGGTTCCCAGTCACACCCTCGGGTGCCCCCGGGTTCAACCTCCCGCTCCGAGCCGGGGCTGACGCGGGTTTGGCCCCGAGAGTGTTTCACAACCCGGAGCGTCGGGGCTTGGCAGGGCTCGAGAAACCGCCGTGGTGTCAATAAAGACGAGCTTTTAAAACCTCCCGAAAGGGTTTCCGAGCGGGTTCGGAGCCCTCGGAGTGACGGGCTGGGCCGGGCGGGGCTCGCAGAGCCCGAAATGTCCCGCTGGCTCCGGGTCGGGTCGGGGCCCGGGGGCCATTCCCGGGTGACGGGGGGGTCCCATCCCTCCTCCCGGGACCATTCCAGGCGCTTTGGGATGATTCCCGAGGGTCCCTGCGGGTCTCCAGCCCCCCCCCTCCCCCGGGCGGCACGTGGCGCTCCGGCAAAGCCGCTCCCGCCGCGCCCCGTTGTTAAGAAAACACAACTTAATTGCTTAATTGCTTTTAATTTCCATTTTAATGAGGTGTCGGGCTGACTCCCCGGAGGATCCCGGGTTATGACGCTGGAAAAACAAATAAAACCCCCCCAAAACACCCCCCCAAGCCCACGCGGCCGATCGAACCCAGCGCTGGGCGATCCCTTCACTGGGACAGGTTTGGGGAACCGGTTTCAGCTCCGAGACTGTTCCCAACCCTCCCCCCCAACCCCCCGGCTTTGTTTTCCCTCAAAATATGTAAAGCTGGGCCCGGGATGTTTCCTCCTGAATCTCGCCGGGGATTCGTGGAGCTCCAGGATTTCCAGCCCGGGGGGATTTGCGTCGCAGGGAACCGGGAAGTCGATGCTTCCCCCTGGGGAAAGGAGCGCCCTGCCCGCCCCAAATCCCACCTGGAAACGCCTTCCCACCCCCTGCGCGCCCCAAATCCCACCCGGAAACGCCTTCCCACCCCCTGCG